CCCCCCCCCCCGAAAAATGTCTTATGTCTATCTATGTTGCTTGTGCTGAGATAGTTTTTTTGCTACTTTACACAGTGTCCTGTGTGTCAAGGACATGGTGTGAGAGATCTTTTTTTTTTAAATATACCTTCTTTCCTCATGTTTTTCTTCCCTTTTCTTATCTAAGCGATAAGGGCAGCGCTTCACAATGAAGCTGCAGCCTCCGTGCACTCCGTCTACCCTTGTTTGGATGGCTGCACTGAAATGTATTTTTGCTGTGCTTAACTGTCCAATGACAATAAAGTTGATTCTGATTCATGCTCAATAATCCAGGTAGAAAAATCCAACAAAGTTAAGTCAGGTCCTCTGGACAGTTTCTTTTTGTTGAAACGTTTCATCTTTCATCCAAAAGACTTCATCAGGCCAAGGAGCCACAAACAAACTCACTCTTATAAATGACACCTTCACATGGTGGGTCAACCAGTTTGATGGTGCTCAGATGATTTCTGGAGTCCGCCCTCTCCCCAGCCGCCTGCTCCAACTCTCAAACTAGTTTGAGGCAATGAAGTGATAACGACTGATGAAGTCTTTTAGATGAAGGACGAAATGTTTCAACAAAAAAGAAACCGTCCAGAGGAACTGATTTAACTTTGCTGGCTCTACACCTGGTCGTTTTGGGAATCTCTTTTTTCCACGACACTCCCCCCCACAACTACATGGCATTAATACAACTTTACCGGGTACAGTTTTACAGATGTTAAGCTAAAATTTCTTGTGGTCGTAGCGGCTGTAGCTCCGTCCTCAATGTGATTTCAGTTTAAAACTTGGGCATGGAAGGAATGCTCTGCCTGTAATTAACGTTTTATTTTTCTCTCCTTTCTCGACAGGTCAACTCGCAGAGGAAGGCCATTGTTCAGCTCATTCTGGAGAAGCGGGAGCTGCTGCTCGAGCGAGTGAAGAGAGACGGTACTTTAAAGCTGCCAGAGCCCATTTGTCTTGGCTTCAGTGCCACGAGCATGTAGACGTCCCGAGCGTTGTAGTTCAGATCAACACAGACACAACACCAGCTGAACTCTGCTGGGTTTGGTTTTTTTTTCCTCTTTGGAGGGAGTGGGTGCGAGGAAGAACGTTTAACACAAACTTGCTGGCCTGCCTCGACCCACATGCCACTTTGGTCAGATCTCGCGGGCCGCATCGACTACCCGCTGCTAAAAGTTGACACAGGAAAAAGTAGGCAGCTGGATTAACCTCCCAGAAATTACAGGTCTGACCGGGACGGCCTCGAAGACCAGAAAACCCAGCTGGCGCGGGAGCGAGGTCCCGCTGCACGCTTTTGGGCAACGAAACAGATTGTTTTGTCCCCGCCCTGAGCACACGACCAGCACGGCTCCGATTCTGATGTGAAAGCAGATCTGATGAGCCATCACAGCTGTATTTATAGCATCTGCTTGCATCACCATCATGAGACCGCTCTGTTCTTCCTGTTTGTCAGACAATGAACCTTCGTTTACTTTCATAGTGGGTTATGTAGAAATGCTATTAAAAATAAAAAATAAAT